AGAAAGAAAGAAAGAAAGAAAGAAAGAAAGAAAGAAAGAAAGAAAGAAAGAAAGAAAGAAAGAAAGAAAGAAAGAAAGAAGAGAGAAAGAGGGAAAGGAGAAAGAGGGAAAGGAGGGAAAGAAGAAACAGGGAAGGGAAGGGAAAGGGAATGAGATATGTATGGATGGATGGATGGATGAATGGATGGATGGAAGAGGGAGGGAGGGAGAGAAAAAGGAAAGGAAGGACCACAAACCCTGGCACTAGACACAGCTTCAGAGGAAGCTTTGAAAGAGCACAGCAATCCAAGGCTGGAAGGGACCTTGGAGGTCATCTAGTACAACCCTTTGCTCCAAGAGCATTGTTAAAGTGAATTTCTCTCTTTTGACCCACCCAGTCACATGACCACATAGCCATGCCTACCAAGCCATACCCAGTAGTAACATTTTTTGAATCCCACCTTGAACTGCATCCAGAAGCTGACTGGTAACCAATGCAGCTCATGTACCAGCTATGACTCATGGACATGAGAGGCAGGCAGCATACATATTTAATAAATTATTTCTATTAGTGTCCAATATTGCTTGTGCTGCTGCCTTTTGAACCAGCTGTAGCTTCCAGAAGATCACCAAGGGAAGCTCCATGAAGAATGTATTGCAATAGTCCAATCATGAGATGACTAGGGCATGAGTGACCATAGTATTAGGCATGGGTTTCTTTAATCCCTCAAAGTCATTCTCCCCATTCATAAGCTTTTTGGCATCTCCCCTGCAACCTTGGACAGTTTTGGAAAGATCTGTAAATCTTAAGTATCCAAGAAATTGTTTCATGCAGTATTTGCAGTGCAAGCCTCCTTTCTACATTTAACTAAATGTAGAAAGACAGATTCCACTTGGTGACAAGACAGAACCCTTCTCTCTTCCTAAAGAATATCAATTTATACATCCATTTGATATGAATAACAACATAATTTGTCTCTTTAAATAATAATCAAGTTATTTAAGAAACAAGTTATCAGTTACCTGAAAGATCTTCAAACTCAGGTTTCTGACTGAAGATTAAGTAATTAGAAGCAATAAAATGAAGCAGCCAATTTGAAAGACAATCCGAGTTATGAAACTGGAAAAAAGATTAAAAAATAAAATAGTATTGGCAAGGAGTTTGGGTCAAATACAGTAACTAGAATAAATCTTTAATTTGTAGAAAGATACTGGTGGTGTAACAGTTAAGATACTGGGCTGTCGACCGGAATATAGGCAGTTTGAGATCCAAGAACCCAACGGGATGATATCCCAATTCTTGCTCCTGCTCCTGCCCACCTAGCAGTTTGAAAGCATGCATATGTGAGTAAATAAATAAGTACCATTTCAATAAGAAGGTAACAGCTTTTCATGCATCTTGACCTTCAGTCATGCCAGCCACATGACCATATCTTTGGACAATGCTGGTTTACCTGAACTAATTAAGAAGCTCCCTGATTTAACTTCTGGCCAAATATAAATTTTGATTTTGAAAACTAAAGCTGATTCTTTAGAAATCAATCAACGGCTATAATTTTTCATGTTTTATAAAAGTGGATATAATTTGTTGATATAACAGCCACGGTAAGATGAAACCTTACAAATCTAATACAAGTAAGTGGGGAAAATATTGGGCTGGGCCTCCAAATCTTGTTTTTTAGTTTTCCTTTTAAAACAGGACATTTTAATTTTTTGTTCAAGGAGAAAGAAAGGAAAATGGAAAATTCTGGGTTTTTAGAATAAAACCAAACCCATAAAATATTTTCTTTTTTTTTTTTTGCACGATATAAAATATTTGATGTAAAGCCATATATATTTGGAAATACCCACCAAATAGTAGAAAAAATGGTGTCAGAATAGTAAAGTTTTTAGATGTTTATAAAATTGATAAAGATAAGGGATTGAAAGAAGTAGAAATTGTTAATATCTAATTGGGATAATTCTGGTTTTTTAAAAATGGGACTATTTAGGCAGTGTCTCATATAGCCACATCTGCATTTTAAGCTTTTGTTTCTATGTTTCATCAACTTTTTAAAATTAAAGCTTTCTATATTTCCTACAGTTGGGATAAAATACAGAATACATAACTTTATTACAATTTTTTGGTTTCTTCCATTTTTGGTGTTTTCTCTGTTTGCTACTCCTAAACAGACAGAAATGAAGGCATGGCATATGTCTTAGAATTCAGTAGCATGTAACTCCATTGTACTAGAAATTAAAAACATTTCAATTAAACTCAATTAAGACATTTAATTATATTTAAATATTTATGTTTTTCAATTTTATACAGTATGCCAAACCTGCTTTTATGACCAAACCACTATATGCATAATGCATTCTGTAAAGTTACAAGATAACACTGTATCTGCTTATATATGATTTAAAAATAAATGCTTTATACATTTAATTTTTTTCACATTAGCCAGAAAATGTGTTTTCTGTTGCTTGAAAATATTGAGAATTTTATATCATTAACTGCTGGCATTAGCCGTTTACACAGTAAGTGTGACAAAAGAAACCATACAAGACAGTAATTTGCATGGGAAATAATGTAGCATTATGAAAAGAATTTCAAATTAATTTTAGTATTAATGTCTTTCCACAGATCAGTTTTTTAATAACGAAAAAGGAAATGGTTTTCAGCTATTCTCTCCCCTCGGAATCAAGTTTACAGTTGGTCCATTAACTGCAGTTTAATATTGAGCAATCCATAAGTGGTATGTATTCCATTATATAAAAATCTTTACTTTCAAAATGAGTCAGCCTTTGTTAACTACAGAAAAAATATAGATAAAAAATATAAATATATTCATATCAACAGGGAGTACTTACCTTTGCTTTCTGAAGCAAGGTGACCACACTCAGGCTCGTAGATGTTAATTCTCTACTAGGCATGCTCTGGAGTTGTGTTATTATATAAAGCTCACAGATGTGCTGGAGCCTTGAAACTTGATACATCTCAGCACATATTAAAAGTGACATGGCTTGCAGAATGCTGGCTGATTAAAATATCAAACCCAGATTAAAACTGATGTAATAATTATATACCGGTTTAAACATCATATTAGTTTGTAATTCCTATACTACAGATTCAGAATTAGTTTTTTAAAACACTCTGACACTAAATATAATCTATTGTAGGAACACTTGAGATTTGATATCTGTGAAACAGACCTTCATCCCATCTCTTCAAAGTGGCTACGCCAAGGATGAATGCAATACATGTTTAAATATGTTGCTTTTACTTGTTCATATCCAAAAACATACATCAACATCACTTGCCAATTAAGAAACACAAAGTATCGTTCTTGATGTAAAAACAGGTTGTATAGAAACTATTTTATTCAACATACATGCCTACTGGAATGTGTAAATGAACCAAATTTAAACCCATTTTATTTAAATCAATAATGTTTCAAATGTTTAGGGATCTCATTTTAGAATAAACAGTATTAAGCTTTAAGAAGTACCTCTTTTTTTGACTACTGTTGTTAATATGTTGCTGAGATATTTTACCATCATTTAATAATAAGTAACATGTTCAAATTTATTTATATCCAAATGCAAAAATCAATATATTCATAACACTCTGAAAATCCAAGACTTTCAGTCCAAGAATTCCTTTTACAGCTATCACAGTATTTAATGTTATTCAAAGCTAAACCCACTATAATTTAATATTTGCATACCTGGACAACAGGAATCTGTATATAGATACTCTAAAAAAGATAGAAATGTATCTTTAGAAATTCCATAAACTGGAACCAAAAAACTATTTGATTCAATATAGTTGCCATTAAACATAGCAGCCATTACTTCACAGCGAGCCACCAGCACTGCTTTGTGAGCTGGTACTGTAGCACCTACAAGGAAAGAGGTTGATGAAAACAATACTATGGGAGTCACGCATAAGAAATAGTAATAATTATTTATAATTATTAATGTATCTGCTGCAAAATATTTCAACTCAGAATGAGAATAAATGTAGTTAAACTTGATTCATGATAGTATATAATTGCCTTCCCAAATAACAGACTCCAGCTATTTTGGGACTGCAAATTTCCAGCCAGCAGATCCCATGCAACGCTGACTGGGAAATCTGAGGGGATATTTTGGACTGTTTTATTAACACTGCAATCATATACTGTAAGTTTCAATGTAAATTTATCCTAGATAAATCCTAGTTAGGAATTCAGATTTAATGGAATCTGTATCCACAATCTGTTTAGCATAAAATATTCTGATTTGTGAATCTATTCCAACTGCCTTTAATATATATGAAATTAATATCTTCTACATGTTAATTGAGTGATTCTTATTCAATTCATTTTGTTTTAGTAAATATACTTAAAATATATTTAAAAATAAATCATACTATAGTTCAAAATTCATTCCTAAATAATACAGCTCCTATTCAAGTGTCTTCGATCCAAGATTTGTACAAAAACAAATTGGCTGTGGAAATGTCTATTCCCATTAATGAACACAGCAACAGTGCCCAACACAAATTCTACCTCTTTCTTTAAAAGGACATGAAGAATAAACTGAAAGACATTTATTTTGCAGGTGCAATGGAAAGCTCCAATTAAGCAGATTATTTATTTGAAAATGAAGTGGCCCAAAAGCATTTTGACATTTGATCTATTGTTAAGGGAAAAAAAACCTTTCAACATTTCCTAATTTTAATGCATTATTCTGCAGCAATATATTCTGGCAAGGTATTTATCTATAAGCACATTCATGTATGGTACTCACTAATGACTACTTAAGTGCCATCATCATTTATTCATCAAGGACAGAACAATATTTTGCATATCACATAAAAGTACTCCCAATTATCACCTCATATATTTAGCTGAACCTTTCATTATAATGGTTCTGGAACTAATATATTGTCATGGATTGCCACCCCCTCCGCCCTTCTCCAGATGCCATTTTGGAGGAGAAGGGTGAGTTTGAGTCTGCAGCGAAAGGTGTGGAACCAAGTATTGGACAGGATTCAGAAAAGTTCAGAAAATTCTAGCCTGAGGGAGCAGCCTCAGCTGGGTTGATTAGACCAGCAAAAGTCTAAGGCTGAGGAAGGTGAGCCATAGCTGCAGCCCAGTTGGCCAGGAGGCTCCAGGCAGGAGTGGGAGCAGTTACTGCCCATTAGCAATGAGAAGAAGGTGGAGTCCACATCTCCTCCTGATCCAAGGACACGTAGAACAGGGAGGAGGCAGGCACAATGCCAGTCAGCTAGACTACTCATGAGGAGGCAACCTTGCCTCTCATGAAGGGCTGCAATGGCATTGCCTACTTAATCCTGCCTTGAGGACTTGAGTGTTGTTGCTGGAGCAATGTGCCCAGTTCTGTGCCTTGTGTGCTCGTGCTGTGTATCTTGACCTGTGTGACTCATGGACTTTCCTGGACTTTGTGTGTGGCCATTGGATTTGGTTGACCAGTGACTCTTGCTGTATTGAGCTTGGAATTTGCGCAATGGAGATGCTTTCTGAGGACCTGTTTGGGGGAGGGGGTTGAGTAAACACCTGTAGAACTTTTGCCATACATGGAGGGGAGGGGCACATATATTTCTTGCCAACAATTCAGTCATCATAAATAATATGCAGTTTTTATTCATTTGTGCACTATATTCTATCAGCCCCACAAGGTAGAACAAACCAGGAAACCAAGTGAATAGAAATACTAAATTACCTTTATTGAGATAAAAGAATATTTTAAGTCTGATTGTGTTGACCCTCCCCACATTGCCCCTCCTTACTTCTTATACTCCAGTGAATCAGGGAGGTGTCTGCTTGAATCACTTTTTATCATGTTTCTCAAGGCTTAAAAATGTTTCACGCCCATTTGCCTAGATAGCAGTTCTTGCCTATTTCTGTCACGAGCATCTTCTTTACTGTCTACATATGCTTAAGATATATTAAAAGAGAGACTCCCTTTTTAATTTCTTTATAGAGGAATTGCTTTAACATACAAATGAATAATTGTTTTCATTATTTTTGTGAACCATGGCACTCTGGTTCATAACACTTTATTTCTCTTTGGAATTTTGAAACAAGCAATGACACCCATTGTTCCTCCACTTCCTACACAAAATGTCCAAAGATTAAAATTTAAAAGCAAGCTGTCTCTATTGCCAAGTTATGTCGCTGCATTTCAAAGACTTGTCTGTTTTCAATTTAGGTTATGGATTCTTTTTATATAAAGGGATAACTAGAAAATAATTCCTTTGGACACATATTCAGTTTTCTTGGCAAAAAAATATTTTTGGGAGATTGCTTCCTTCCCAGGACTGAAAGAGCCTGACTTGCTCAAAATCAGCTAGCTGGTCCTCTAGTGAAAGGAAAAAATTAATTTCTCATTTTTATGTTAACACTGTTTCCCAATTAAGCCAAGAAAATGTTTCCTTAAAGGTTCAGGAGATACATTAACATTATTTTGTATTATTTAAAGAAAATATGAAAACACAGTGATACTTTATATCATACCTTGAATTTTGAACATGACATCAGCTAATACTGTGGTGTTAAAGAAAAGTCTGAGAGAGCTGTTACATAAATGTAGCGGTCTTTTTGACAAATAAGTTCTATAATTTTGTGAACCATTAACCTGCAGAATGAGAAGATGGTTAAATACATATTTTTTTAAATTGAAGCTTTTTAAAAAAAATCTACTAATGCTACTGCTATTATGCCAAATGAAATCAAATTTATCTTTGGTCCTTCCATTTCATTGTTTTAAAAAAATCAGCTCTATAACACCTGATCTTTAGAACTTCTTTAATAACTTTTCTACTATCATATTTTGTCTGTAAACCATGGGAGGCACAACCTCAGTGGACAGTTATGATACAATATCTATTGCAAGAATCAACCTTCCAAGAGAGAAAGAGTGCTGTAGGCAGAATCTTACCAGGTAAGGTGCTTGAACATATTCTTAAATAAAAATCCAGGGAATTGGAAATCTAACTTCATAAAAAGGTGTCCCTGAAAATAATGATTGAATGCTGGACTCTTAGCACACATAGAGGCTAATGAAACAGACTCAATGAACCCTACGTGATAGACACAGTCTTCAGAGAGTAATTAGGTCTGCAGAAAAAAACAATTGCTACCAACCTGCCTTCCAACCTGTATACTGCATGAGCCAAAAAGAGGGCTGTGAAAATATTTACAGACCCCTCACATCCTGGACATAAACTGTTTCAACTCCTACCCTCAAAACAATGCTATAGAGCACTGCACACCAGAACAACTAGACGCAAGAACAGTTTTTTCCCGAACACCATCACTCTGCTAAACAAATAATTCCCTCAACACTGTCCAACTATTTACAAAGTCTGCACTATTACTATTAATCTTCTCATCATTTCTTATCACCCATCCCCTCCCACTTGTGACTGTATGACTGTAACTTTGTCGCCTGTATCCTTACGATTTATATTGACTGTTTCCTGGTATGATTTGATTGCTTATGGTACCCTATGACTATTATTAAGTGTTGTACCTTATGATTCTTGACTCTTGACGAATGTATCTTTTCTTTTATGTACATTGAGAGCACATGCATCAAGACAAATTCCTTGTGTGTCCAATACACCTGGCCAATAAAGAATTCTATTCTATTCTACAAATTCAAAGTAACGCTGCCAACAAACTGAGCTCAGAGCTGGGGGATGGGAGAAATGTAACAGAAAAAGGCATGAACTGAAGTGACGGAATTTACAAGCAGGCTTGAGACCAATTGGTGAAGGGTATAGTTAATGTTGAGAAATACAAAGGCAAGAGAAGAAAAAAGGGTAAATCATTACGAACAGTAGGAAGCTTTAGTACATCAAAACAAGCAGAGCCCAAATTCTAAAAAGATAGCACAAGGGAACTTGTAGGAAGGCAGTTGTGAGAAAACTCTTTACTATAGTGGTATTATTTCTGTAAAGTGTAGTTATTCTTCCAAAAACCTATCTTCCTTGGAAAATGAAAAACGGAAGAATTTGGCTTATAGGGAAGAAATTAGTTAATAATGTTATAATACCCATGCTTTAATTGGAGTTTTCTACTCCTTCAATTAACACAATTCTCCTTCTCTCAAACCAAATTACAATTTTTTGGTAATAATGACTAAACGTGTATACAATCTCATCCCATCTTACTTTCTTCAGTATTTTATCCAACCAAATTTATATTTCATTTTTCAGATTTTTTCTTTCATTATGCTGTATTCTATAGTCCATAGAACAGTTTTTATGTATGACTTAACATATTTTTTCTAATATAATATATTAATATTAACAACATCAGATTTTCTCAAAAGAGTATGCCACAAAATATTAGGTTAAATGTTTCAATAGTTCTGCCCAAATTATTTTAATTGGTTTTATTATTTACAAGAATATGTTAACTTATACATCAAAAGTGTCTGTTCTACTGACTATGGGATAAATAAAAGGGGATGCCATTTGTATTAGTCTCAACTTACTTCACAGCAAATTTGAGAAAAAGTGGAGTGATACCAATCCCTTCAACCACATCTATACTGATGTTTATTTCAAAAATTCATATTATTTCCTTTTTACATTAAGCTAACATAAATGAAGTTGCAAAAGCTCAATGGATTATACTTCTATTTCCAGTATTCAGTAAACAGAATGAATGATCCTTCCTTATCAAGCAAATACTTCTACCCATTAAAAAACTACCTGTTTACCATTATCTATGCAAATCTCAAACTTTTAATTTGCTTTTAAGAATTTAACGTGCTTTCTTATTAAAAATATTAATACTTTTTCTAAATAAGTATAAGTCTCATGTTTGAAGGATAAAAATCTCTTTATATCTTTTCTTATAATAAAAATAAGATTTCAACTTGCCTTTCCTGGAATTTTCAAGATACATTTTACTCTCTCAAGAACAAGTTCAACATCCCCAGGATTTTTCAGTTTCTTTTTAATGTGCTCTTCCAATAGGTCCCATTGAAAAGCACCTAGAGATATGAAACAAGTACTTTTAAAATGGGATACAAGACATCACTTTTAGCACAAGGTATCTTTATTAACAATCTGATATGTACATGATCTTTAAACATTGGAGCTCTGTTGCAAACAGTATTTAATTTTTATAGATTCCACTGCATTGTCTTTCACTGGATCTAATAAAAGGCAAATTTTAGCCATTCACCCATGGACATTTCACTGATATTGTGACTGAGGGCACTGTCACCCTGCCATCATTTTATTCAAAAGCAGCAATTATCTTCTTTTCCACCCATTCAGATACTCAAAATAAGAGGAAAACACCCTTGGCTGTTTGTAAATTTTTTACCAGGAAAAAAAAATCAGGAAAACAAAAGCTTTCACTTCTACTCTACACAAAAAGGAGAAAAGAGAAACAAACTAACGGACCAATAGTGTACATACTGCATAAGATCTATGGAGTCCTTGGTGCTCTCTAAGCTTCTCTAACCTCTAAGTTTCATTATCCAACTAGGTAACATCAGTGTTATGAATGTGAGGTTTGCTGCCTGTTAATATACACTAAGTGACCTTGCCAGTATTTGTGGGGATGGGATGCAAAGAAGTCTTCAATTTATGATCACAATTGAGACAAAAATTTTTTTTGCTAAGTGAGACAATTGTTAAGTGAATTTTATGACTGTTCTTGCCTCAATTGTTAAATGACTCACAGCAACTGCTTACAAACATGGTTGCTAAGTGAATCTGGCTTTCCTATTGACTTTGCTTGTCAGAAGATCACAGAAGTTAATCACATGATCCCAGAATATTGCAATTGTCACAAATATGAGTCAGTTGCCAAGACTCTGAATGTTGATCACATGACCATGAGAATGCTGCAACAGTTGTGTGAAAATCAATCATAAGTCGCTTTTTCAGTGCTGCTGTAACTTCAAAAGGTCACTAAATGAACTATCTGTATTTTTGTTAATAGTTCATTGATTGTTTTCTACTTGATTGTTTGCCTGGGGTTAATCTTGGGTTATCTGGATGGTGGTTGCTGGAGAAGATGTATGCTGATCCTTTTGTTTGCTTCTTCTCTTTTTTGTTGTTTCTTTTGAATGGTGCATAAATGTAGCTTATCTCTTTATAGGAACTTTTCCAGATGCCAGAATCTTCCTCAGCCCCAGAGAAGTAGAAAACTCGGCAAGGACTATGTTTTTAGAACATTCTATACTGGAGTAATAATATTTTTGAACTGAAAGATCTAAATATAATCTAGTTATACTTAGTTTCTGCTGTGAATAGGACTTCTGTGATCAATGTTTTGTTTCTGCTGTGAATAGGACTTCTGTGATCAATGTTTTGTATTTTAATTGTTTGTACCAGAATTGTACATTAAATAACTGAAAAAATAGCTCAGGGTCCAGGAAAAGGGGTGACACAGGTTGTTTCCAATTGGAACACAGAAGTACAATTTTTGTAAGCCCCAGCCCCAAATGAGTTTCCTATCACTTTCAGTTATATTGTAGCTAAGCCAGAAATAAGTCAAAACTTGTTTTCCAGCCATCCAGAATCCTGCCATAGAAGTTCCGTCAGCTGACTACTTTGGCTATACTAGGATTTTGTCCTTCATCATTCTGCTTCTCTGTTTAGGTAAAGAAATGTCTCTGAAACAATGACCCAATGAGCAACATTCTTTTAACCAAAGTACCACAAATAACTTCTAGAATCCTTGACTCACCCATGACAAATTTTATAAACCACTTTGTGACATAAAATGATCATAAAACATTTTATGACATAATACAAAATGTCATAAAATATTTCCTGTGGTCAACTCCTTGTGTTTCATTGTGCTATACAGTTCAACATGAGGTACTTTCAAGGCAGATAAATCTCTGAATAGCTCCCTGAATTTTTAAGAACTTTTCAGTACATTAGAACATCTGCCATTGTTGAAGGCATAAGGAATCAGTAAAGAAATATCTCTATGATGGCCCAACAGGTTATGAGTTGCCTACTGACTTAAATGATCAAAGAAAATAGAAAATATTATGTGATATTCTTCAAAGTCTGCTGAAAGTCCTCTATAATATGATCGACATTCAGATGTCTATGGTCCCACATGGTTATAAATCTCCTTTCTGGATTTGGCACATTTTTGTTCTTTGGCAGCTTACATTGAAAAAAAACTATCCTCACATGTGCATCCAGATGTCTTCAATATCAAATTCTTTTGTATTTCCATAATCTTCTTCTGATGCATACTCAGACCTCTTGGAAAACATGGGCTCCCAACTTAGGGAATAAATCTAATATGCATGTAAGTGGAAGTTGGTGGGAGATCTTTGTGCTTACAGAAAAAACCCTACGTAAAGAAGCTTTTTATAAGAATATTAGGGCACAGTATATCTACTATTTCCTTTTTTAAATGGACTTTTCTGGAATAGTGGTGGACTAGATGCACATGTCTCCACCTGTACCCTGAAGTGATACTGCCAAAGTAAACGCTAACTCAAAATGCATAGATTTCCATTTTAATAAAATAATATGTACTCCCCTCGCAGTAAGTAACCTCTTCTTTGTTAACAGACAATAAACAGCTGGAACTATTATGAGAGGATACCTGAATAAATGAAGTGCAGAATATCTGTCAAACAAGAGCAGAAGAATGAGTCTTTAACAATGACTCTTACTGGTGAACCACATGATGTGCCATGTTTTAATATGGGAAACAGAGTTTCCTGAGTGGCTGCAAAGAGAGATTGAGCAGTTCTAATGATAGAAGAATCCTGAATGTCAGTTGGGCTCTTCACATTAAAAAGCAACATGAAGACATGGCTAATAGAGCATAAAACAATCCTGTGTGCTTTTGCTACCTCCTTCAAGTCTTCAGAGTAAAATATCACATCAACACACTGGCAGTAGAACAACAAGTTACGTAAATCAGAGTCATAATGTGAGGCTTCGCCTTTTAAGATAGGCATTTTTTCTAAAAAAGAAAGAAGAAAGAGCATATATTAGAAAAGAATTCATGAATAAACTGTTCATAAAATCATTGTACATAAAATTATTACAGTTGAAACTCCTCCCACATAAAATATGATAAGCTACATGGATTGGATTGTTTTGGTGACTGCTTTTATCATGCTTTTATCATTTGTCTACCTCTCCATTTTACATACCTGCAGGATATATTAAAGTTCACCAGACCGCCTGCTTTCATATAGTATAAACACGAAGTTAAAATGTGGCTGTCTGTTTCACAACTTAGTTTGTCTCATTAAAAAAGAACTTTATCAGGATTTTTTTAGTAAGACAATTCTGCTCTTAGATAGTAGGCTTTCATAATTCCAAACATGGAAGAATTATGCATTATTTCATAATATTTGAATTAATATTATTATAATAAGTTTATTATAATAAAGGCATGTTCTTAGACTACTTTTGAAGTCACTAGGTAAAAATGTAGTAATTAAAGCAATTTGACCAGAAAAGAGCTCTGTGAAAGAACTGGTTATTCAGCATCAGACTAAAATTATAATTAAAGTGAGGGAAGATGGAAATAGCTGCAGAGAAAAGTTGTGTGGGGGGGTGGAGGGGAATCCATTAGCTACTAGAGCATTTGGCAAGCTATGAGGAGCTGCTGCCACACTGGTAGCTTATTACAAATTTGTGCTCTAACTACATTTATCCTGAAATCTTGAAGACCTTTATGCAAAAGTTAAATCCTCATAGACAATAGCATTAAAAGTATTTCCAGCAGAAAACAGCACTGTAGAGCTCAGATTTGCTATTAAGAACATAATTTCACTCCATATGCAACAATTATATTTCAAATCTAATTTTCCATATTTGTATTATATTCAGAGTACAAAGAGTGTTTGTACTCTGAATAACGTCACAGATATTTTTGTTGAATTAAAGATGACTTAGTTTACAAATGCAGTACAGTTGCTCAAGGTTTTGTTTCTTTCTACCTTCTAACAGTTTTAAGAACCCTAACTGTTTTTCAAATAAAAAGAGCTAAGATGCTATCTGGGGAAATGAGGAAGAAAACTAAAGTTGCCATCATTGTTCACATGAAGGAGAGACAGTTGATGAACTGAAGTCATGAATGAAGGTTAGGCAACAGAATTCTCACACTCTTTTTCTGCAACTTTCAGAAACTTCCCTGTCTGCAGAGCTGTTGTTGTCATCCCTAAAATAGGCTTAGTATTAATATACTTAGCATAAACATACCTACTTTCCTCCAAATCCTAGGAAAAAAATAACTCCTGACTCTCCCATGTATATGACATGACTTTGCTCAGTTTGCCTCATTATTTCACCCATTATAATCGATGCTGCTACCAAGCACAAAAGGTTTGCTCAATCCTGTATGAAAGATCTAAGCTCACTTTTTTGTACCAATTCCATTCTAGATAAGACTTTGGACATAAAAATCAGATATCTCCTCTTTCTTTGGTGCCTTCAAGTCAGTCTTTGTGCCTTCAAGTCAATTGTCCCATGGGTGCTTTTTCAAAAGGCAACTGGACTTTGTTTTTCCTTGAAGACGTTTCGCTTCTCATCCAAGGAAACTTCTGGATGAGAAGCCAAACATCTTCAAGAAAAAACAAAGTCCAGTTGTTTTTTGGGACAACCATGACCTGGGTGACTGAGAATCCCCAAAAACCTTCAAGTCAGTCCTGGCAATTGCCTATACTAGAATCCTTAAAAGTGAGATGAGTGGACAGAAAATGGCATATATTTTATGATACCAACTTATTGTTTTGCAATTTTGTAATCAGATACTCTATGCTTATCCTAAAAAAATAAAGAGCATTTTGAGATGTCCAATTTATATTGGGAAATAAAACATAAAATAATAATTATCTGCTCATAATTCACCAATACTTTACTTCATACTAAATTTATGTGAGCATTAAAAAGTTACATCAACTTCTTCCTATATTTTATATAATCAAATAACATTATGCCCTATGTAATTGATGGGAAACATGCCAATATCCAGACACAATACTAATAAAGACTCTGGACAATACTATTATTTTAAACGGAAAGAACATTCAAACGGATGTTCTAGTTTCCATCCTATTACCATTTTATTCTTTTGAATGCTTCTGGAATTATAAACCACAGAATAAGGATGGTATATGAGTAGAGACAAGCATTTTGTTTTAAAACCCATCTTCAAGGAAAAAAGAAAAAAAAGACAAACCCTACAGGTAGTCCTCAACTTATTCTAAGAATAAGCTCCTGTCATGAAAGTTGTTTGGTAATGCTGCATTGTCCATGACACCCTATCTAATTTCCAAATATTCTCTGGCCCAGAAAGTTTGGAGATTCCATTAGGAAATACGATTTTACATTCTAATTTCATAAGCTCTGCAACATTATACAATCCACTGCAACAGATATTGGAAGGCACCTGGCTGATCAAGCTGAGGTGGCTTAACTCCTTGACATTTATGACTTTTCTTCCTTTTCTTCATTTTTTCAGATGATTTCTGATTCAAGCTTTGTATCATAAAATATTCCAGCTAAAATCAAACAAAACATGTATCACTAAATTTTGTAATCAAACTCATTTAAGAAGATGCAATTGATCAGTGTCACCCATATTTCTAATTACTACTATTGTTGTGCATCTAAGCTTTCCTAAATACTCTGGATATAAATGGTTTGCAATCCTGCTTAAAACTGTTTAATTCTCACTAAAACCAGCAGAAAGTAATCTAACAAGATTATATATTTGAAACAAAAATGCAACTGACTGTAGAGTACTAAAAGTGTTAGAAAGTACTTTTTATGGTATCAAGTATGTTTGAGCAAAATTGTAGGGAAAATCCTCAGGGGTGGGCTTCAAAATTTTTAGCAAAGGCTTTTCTGCCCGGTTGCTGGGTGGGTGTGGCCATGGTGGGCGTAGCCCAGTTAGCCTTCTGCACCATGGTGTGGGGGGGTGTTTTTCCCCTCCCCGGGCTATGGAGGATTTCCTCGAGCCTCCGGGAGGACGAAAATGGCATCCTCAGGCTCCAGAGGCTCTCTGGCATCCCCAGCCTTCCCGAACTTCCAGGAGACCTGTTTTTCACCCTCCCCAAGCCTCCGTGCATGCCCTGCACTTACCTGCATCCAAAATTAATCGCATGGGGGCTCCTGTGAGGGGCGGGGTGGGTGGGGTGGGGCCATCCAGGAGCAGGATTTGGGGGTTCTCCGAACTGCACAGAATCTTAGCTAAGGGCACTCCCGAACCTCTGTGAATCCCCAGCAGCCCACCCCTGTAAATCCTGCTTCCTGGACCAAATCATGTAATTTTATTTTCTGTGAAATCACATAAATGCCCAACTAGAATTGCCACTGAGAGAGCAACAGACAAACAGCAAATGATCACAGTTAACCTGAGATGACAGTGCGTGCTGCCCTCACTTTTCACTGTAACAGGTAGGCAGAATGACATACTGTATGGTATAAGGTCTACATTTTCCTTCCAGATTTAATAACACAACTTTCTAAGACTACCATAATAAAATAGTAAAAGCTTATCAAAACAAAATAAGAAATTTATATAATTTATAAAATTATAATTATAATTTTATAAATGATATATAAAAATTTTGTACGAGTTAAGTCACATGTGTCATGAAAGCCATATTTATTATTGATTTAGCCTTGTGGCAGAACTAGGAATAATTAACCCTTGTGATTTATAAGGAAAGATAACACCAAAATTAGTGCAAGTGAGGTATTAATATGCTTATTCTCAGAGTACAAGTTTTCACAAATAATATTAATTACTACAGATTTTTTGTGTGAGGTATAACTGTAATAATAGTTATATGTGTTTAAAAAGTGGCAATAAAAACCATTTCATTTTTATTTTACCAGCACTTAGAAATGTTGCAATTACTTTTTTTATAAATGAGATACCATGTGATTACAGAAAAATATAATTGGCACACTTTACAAGGGATGATCCCTCACACTTTTTAAAAAAATAGTTTGAGGAATATATGTAGAATAACTTTCCTTATTATTTTAGCTTACTGATTATCCTGTTTTTGATGTGAAAAACTTCATACCCATTGAAGCCCCTTTTTAAAGCAGGTGATTCAACAAAGTTGGTGGCAGAGTGATTGGAATGCAGTACTGCAGGCAAATTCTGCCCACAATCTGGAGTTCGATCCTGATCATCTTATGGTTGACTCAGCCTTCCATCCTTCCAAGATGGAAGAGAACCCAGATTGTTGAGGGCAATATGCTGGTATTGTAAACTGCTCAGAGAGTGCTATAAAGTACTACAGAGAAGTATATAAATCTAAGTGATATTGCTATTGCTATAATGGCTCGTATTGAAAACATTTTAATTAGAAAAAATCAATTTACTTCCAAATTAAGATTAGTGAATCTACTAGTAGAAGCATATATTATTACTCATTTGAGACTATTATTTATGTTTTTAAGACACAAATTCATTTGTAAATGTCATTTATTCCATGACTGAGTATATCTCACCGAAGTCAAATTAATTTAATGATTGTATTTACGTCTAATATTGATTTAACCAATGATCAACTAGATTTATTAATAGAAATGAATATGCTGTTTTCCCTATAGACCCCACATGATGTGATGGCACTGATCTAGAATAGTAACCTCAGGTCATTAGATTCTTAAGTACCTCATGCTATTCTTTTAAAAATGTATTTTAGAATATTAAATATAACAATCATGGTTAGAATGTCTAAACTGATTTCTATCAGATGACTAGCATACTCTTTCTATAAGATCTTGCAGCATATTGAGAAAAAATACTAATCATATTTCCATTATACTATTTATAGTTATAAAAATAGTTTGGACTAGATATACTGAGGTAATAAAATTCTAAATCAGCTTTCCCAAATAATCAACCTTCTGAGGTAGTAGGATTGCACTTTTTAGCAAAAATGCTGGCTGAGAATTGAAAGTTTGAATCCATATGTATCTGGAGAATGCCAATTTGCGGAAGACTGACTTATCAAAGTATGGGCCTTGATTGTGTGTCACAGTTTCACAATTGTTCTCACTAACATCTGATCTGAATTTTGGAAACTCAAAAGAAAAAAAGTCAAATACTTTGCATCTTAACATACTTACCACCCCACCAAAATATTTTCCTATGTAAAAATCATTGAGGCTATGCAGTTCCAAGTAAGTGGCTCCTAGTTCTTTAGCAAGTTGAATTCCTTCAGAAGCTGTAACACAGCTACCTCTATCTGAGATACACAAAGGACAAGTGCAGGGGACTTCTGTGAAAGCAAACAATTCATGAAAAATAGTTTAATTACATTGGTTCTTATTCAATGATTCTAAACTCTATCATGTTAGTTATGCATTAAACCATGGAGTATTTATTCCTAAGGACCAGGCAAGAATTATACAATCATTTTAACTTGAAGTTTCATTATTAGATATTTTTCCTCTATATATCTTTAAAATTCTTCATGCTTAGATTTATCTGAATAACAATTGCATCAAAGTTTTCTATGATGCTGAATTGCTTCCCACCTAAAAACAAATATGATTTACTATACCAAAATTACTGCTCTTGAACTGCAGGAAAAAAAAGGTTTTTTTGGTAAGAGATTGAAACCTCATTCCTTGGTCTCCTTTTTGGATTACTTGAAGCTGAATATAATTGTCACTTGTATTTGGCAACAATTTAAAAAATAAACAATTAATGAGAAACTATCATGGCTATTATTTAACTGTATATTATTATAACAAATTAAGAGATATATTTAGAATATGCTAAATAAAATTTCACTTCTATAAGAGTTTTTGTTTTCTTTCCCAGAGCCTTCTGTAATTCCCCAAACTGGGACTGAAAAATTTATGGATTTTTTTTAATAATATGGGATGGAACACTCAAGCTTCTCAGAGGTTCAGAGAGAGTTGTACTGCTGAAACAGAGAGTATCTGTAGCTCAGGGTTGAAATGAGGAGTCTTCAATGTTCTCTAATTTTGGTTGTTTTCTTGCAGATGTTTCATTAATCAAAGTAGGGCTGAAATCCTCTATTATGGCAGAAAGACTTAAAAGATACCAGAATCACTTTATACACACTGATCAAAATGGATTTCTGCGTAAGAGGCAAATAAAAGATAACATGAGAAGAATCTTGAATACATTGGAATATTATGAAGCACACCCAGAGAAGCAAATGGCCTTAGTGTTTTTAGATGCACAAAAAGCCTTCGATAATGTAAATTGGTAATTTATGTTATTGCAAATGGAAGAGATGGGTTTTGGAGAAAGATTTATCAAGGCAATCGAGGCAATATATCATAAGCAATCCGCAAAAGTAATGATAGAGATTTGACGATAATATTAAGATTAAAAAGGGAACTAGACAAGGATGCCCTCTGTCGCCACTGTTGTTTGTATTGACTTTGAAAGCACTAAACAGAAACATCAGACAAAACAAAGAAGTAAAGGGAAAGAAAATAAAAAAGGAGGAATACAAACTACAAGCATTTGTAGATGATCTGGTCTTTATATTGGAAGAACCACTGAAAACAGAGTCCAAATTGATAGAAAAGATTGAAGAATATGGACAAGTGGCAGGATTAAAAATAAAGAAAGAATATTTAGACTTCAACTAATGCAAAATGCAGTGGTGCACACAGTTGTATATCTTATTAGAAAAGTACACTTTATGCTCTGTGAGCTACATTGGTTGCCAGTTTGCTTCCAGTCCAATTCACAATGTTTGTTTTAACCTTTTAAGCCCTTCATGGCAGGGCTTGGGTCATCTGAGGGGCTGCCTCTTCAAATTTATATCTGCCCAACCCATCAGGTCTAATAGAAGACATACTGCAGGTTCCATCCACAGGGTTTATGCTTGGTGAGAATGGCACCTTTGTCAATAGGACTGGGATCTCAGGAAAAGAGTAAAATCTTATTATAGCTCCATCACTATGGCTGATACACTTTCCCCTGTGCAGTGTTTTTTTAATGATGATTATTTTATACTTTTAATAATGATTGGCTTTATGTATTTGTTTTAACGAATTGTTAAAATTAGTTAAAAAGAATTCTTGTGGGATGGGCAGCCATATAAATGAGATAGACAGACAGACAGATAGAATGTCTCTTCAAAAGTAAACCCTTCTTTTCAATTAAATTCACTCTGACAGGATTATAATCTAAAGAATAACAAATAATGCCTATGTATCAATACATGCAGCAGATATCCCACTGATTTATTATTAATATTGACAGTTCTTGCTCCTTTAAAAAACTACACAATTCATTTTACTGAAAGATTATCTGTGTCACACAGAAATAAGCATCCTTTTTCATTTAAATTTTTAGCTAATGAAAACTTTCAAATATGAATTTAGTCCTAAGTGAATAGGCTATCGAACACAATAAGGTGAATTCTGAGCTGAAAGCTATCACTCAGCAAAGGTATTGTGGTTAATATAATATTCCAAGAGTATTTAATATTTATTGCTAGCCAGTCAATACGGCTTGCAGATTGAATAAATAATCTCTAGAAAAAAATATTCTTACAGGTGAACAAGCAATTATTTATATGTGTCTTTGTATGTGTGTATCGATAAAATTACTAAGACTTAAGATTAACTTAAATGCTTTTTAAAATATATAATTGTACACACCTCTTCACAGTATACTCAAAATTAGCTCTGTATCCACTGATTTTAATAAACTGCAAATGAATTCCATTTGATAATCCTTCAAACAAAAGGAAAAAATTCTCATCTATTAACAGTGGTAAATCACATTATAAATAACTAATTATTTCAATTAGTTTATCAACCTTTCTAAATAAATTATGTCCATGTAAGACAACAGCAACATAATATAAACAATATTTATAGTTATCTCTATAAATACATCTATTAGCACATCCACATCGTTATTCTTCAGAAGTACTAGTGATACCATGAATAATGATTAAGATTTATTTCATAGTAAATTTTCATTCTAAATAAAATATTAAATAAGTGAAATCTTTTTAATCTTAATGAGACTCTGGTACTTTTTGCTATTTTTCTTTGCACTGTCAAAGAACTTCATCACAGTGCAAAGCTGTTTTCTTCCAAATCTGAAAGCGCTTTATTTTTTTCTTCTCCACTTAAAAATGCTCTGCAAAACGTAAAAGCCTATGAAATTTAAGAATTCATGCATTGTAAGGTTAAACAGCTTTAGCTACAATATACAGCAATATAATAAAAAAGCATGCCCCTGCATAGTGATTATGAAACAAAAGAACTTTTGGAGAAATATTTCCATTTGAAATTAGAAATCCCAAATTACAAAATTGGAGGGTATTATTTAAGCAGTCAAATTTAGTCCTGTAATCCAGATGAAAACACACCACAAGCAATTAGCACAAGCACTAGCCGCCACCTAACATTCAATAAAGTGGAGACTACCACCTATCTGAATAATTGGTTTTACTGTTAAACTGCTCTCACTGTTAGAAAACTTTTTCTAATTCAGTCAGAATGTATCTTTCTGCCCTGAATTTTTCTTTGACACCATTTCATATATTTGGAGATTATATCCTCCTTATCATCTTTTTTAAGACTAAGCATGCCCAGCTACGTAGAACTATCTTCATAGTACTTCATAATCCCCTGATTGTCCTCAATATCATTCTATTAACTTGTCACAATTTCTCTGAATTTTTCTTCTAAGTGCAGTGTTTAGAACTGAGAGCAACATGAGGTAGGTCTGACTAGAGCAAAATAAAATGGAAACATTGCATTATTTGGACATTATACTTCTGCTGATGCAGTCTAAAATTGCATTTATTTTCTTTGCATCCACATTACACTACTTTCTCACAAATACAGTATGTACATGCCTCATGCTCTACTGCACATTTGACATTTCCTTCCTAAGAACTTTGTACTTGTCTCTGTTAAAGTTTATTTTGTTACTTACAGCCTAGTTTTCTAACCTATTTTGATCACTTTCAATGTTGCTGCTAATGTTTAGCTATCCCAGCTAATTTTGTAGCATCTATAAATCTGATAGGGATTCCTTCCATCTCTTAAACTAAATTCCTTAAAAAACATTGAAGATACCAGACCTAGGGTTGATCTGTATAGCACCTGCTCAATATCTGATTTCAGTATGATGTAGCACCGATGAGCATTCTCTGAGTACAATTTTGAACCAAATGTATAACCATATGTAACTATATTGTTAAACAGCTTGTTTTGAATTGCTCTGTTGAAGTCAAGATATATAATAACTACAGCATTTCCATAATCTATTAAGAAAATTACCTGATCAAAAATGAGGTAAGATTAAGTCTGACATCCCAGCACACCCCATGGTCGTATAATCACAATCTGGGTGCTTGGCAACCAGTTGATATGTCCAGTTGTAGCACATGAAATCACATTATTATAATTTGCAACCTTCTTTGCCAGCTTCCCCAGAAAGATAATGGAAAGAAAACAGCACGAAAGGCCGCAAGTTACTGGGGTAAATCTTCCCCACCCACACGATACTCTCCCCCAGGCTCTCTGTGCTCATGCCGTACTGGCACTCACATACCTTGTGCATCCTCTCCAACCCATACCCCAATCTCTTACTCATGCTTCTGACACATACCCTTCAACCTTCCCAACTCACACCTCTTGTGCACCCCTTACAGTGTTGTGCACTCCCCAGCCCAAACCAAACATCTCATGTAGTCTTTTGCATCCCAATTCACGCCTCACCTCTTGCACATTCCTTTACACCCTTCCTAACCTGGGCCCTCACCACACTCTTGTGCATTCTTCCAACCCATCCTGCACCTCTCAAGAATTCCCTCATATCCTCCCCACACCCATGCTACACCCTCACCCACCTTCCCCAGTCCATGCCTTCACTCTCCAACTTTCATGATACCTCTCACATGACCTCTTGCAAAGTCTCCCCAACCCTCACAATTTCTCCCTCGCACCTCCATAAGTCATCTTGCTTCCTCCCAAACCCAGCAGCAGTAGCCACTTATCTGCCTGCTGGCCTGGGACTTGCAACTTCCTGTCAGTTTCCCCATTGACTTAAGCCAAGGATGTTGCCTTGCTTAATGGTTATGAAATTTGATCAACAAAAGCAACTCAGACTGCAGGAATAGCCATCTCTAAGTGATACAGTCATGCTTTACAAGCGCATTGCTTAGCGACCAAAATTCAGATCCCAATTGCAATTGTAAGTCAAGGACAATTTCTATCACTTAATATAAAAATTGTCTAAAATCATTAAATAATATTATAAAGAAGCTTAAGTGCCAAATGTTTTATGATCAATGCACCACACAAACTGATAATATATCATGGAAATTATTAAAATTAATTTTCTTACCAAAGACTGCTAATAAGTCTCTCTAGATTAATCAGTATTAATTCTAATGTGGTCTTTTGGTATTAAGAATTTAGATTGAGAATTTCTGCTGCAGAATTCTTAAATTTCAGCTGTGGTAAATACAAAAATAATATCTACCCTAAGAAAAAGCTTTGTTATGGATATACAGTAATATAGTGGATGACTTATTGCAAGTGTGTAAAGTACAACTTATACACACATTATTTAGAAAACCTTTTCTCACAATTACAAATTATGTGTTTCTTTACTCTGAGTTCATGAATCACTATACTAGTTTTGTTCCTATACAAGTTCAGAAAGGGACGCAGGAGCTCACAAGGAGGCAAGTGAAAATATGAAATGCCAAAACATCATGCCACAAATCCTATGACTTAAATATAATGAAAATGTTCAAGTATGATACAGTAGACTTTGCATCATGATATTTTGTCATTTTTCCATCATTAATTGTAATTAGTCTTCTACAGAAAAGTGATACTTTCCTGGGAAAATCTGCTCTTCATAATTGTACCAACCAAATTTTAAAAAGAACCACATTCTTCAGCTTCTAATTCAGAATACTGCTAATGCTTTTAGATTGCTTTTAAAATGAGCATATGGTAGTCCTCGAATTGCGACAATTGAGCTCAAAATTTATGTTGCTAAGTGAAAAATTTGTTAAGTGAGCTTTGCCCCATTTTACGACATTTCTTGCCACCATTGTTAAGTGAATCACTGCAGTTGTTAGTAACATGGTTGTTAAGTGAATCTGGCTTCCCCATTGACTTTGCTTGTTGCAAAAGGGGATCACATGACCTCAGGACACTGCAACCATCATAAATATGAACCAATTGCCAAACACCTGAATTTTGATCATGTGACCACTGGGTGCACATGTTATAAGTGTGAAAAATGGTCATAAGTCAATGCTGTTGTAACTTTGAATGTTAACTAAGTGAACAGTTGCAAGTCAAGGACTACCTATATAACATGATACTGTTTCGAGTTATTCTCATTTTTTTTTCTCTTTCAACTGGAACCCATCAAACTAGGTAAAATGTTTTCTGAATATTAAGTTCAATTCTAAGAAGTACTAACTATACCATGAGTGGTCGAATAACAAAGCTGTCTGATCATGATTCATCCAACACTTAGCATAATACTGATATCTCAGCTGTTTATAACATGACTTCTAGCACATACCGTTTTGTCTTGCACCAACAGCAGAAATTATAACTGGAACTGAACAGTGACTAAGTGTTTTCTTTATCAGTGGTGCATAAATATCTTTTACTTCTTGAAATGAAGACTTGTCATTTACAGAATATTTAATCACAATGATATCTGCTTCTCCAATGAGGTTCCGAGATGTATACCAGTCACTCTCAAAAATATCCTATATAAAACAAAAAGATGGAGCTAAATTCCCTTTTTTATTGATCAAGAGATCAGAGCACACAACTGTATAATAACTGAAAGTTTACTAAAACTTAGGATACAACATTTGTTTTGTGGGTATTAAAAATATGTAAAGCTGTCTGCAATAAATCAATTTGTTCAAACTTCATCTTGCTTTCTATGTCTTGCTTGTAGCAAACTTTATGTTAGTATGTCCTTTTTAATTATGAGTTTGTACACATAGATTACTAGATGAAATTAACAGAGTTAATGGCTGTACAGGATTTCCAATCCAACTGTCTAAATTTTAAGATAAATTTTCTATTCAATTATTGATATAATTTATATATAAAATACATGCATCAAAACTACCACTCATTTTAGTTAATTATAGCAATATCAGTTCATTGGTGCAGTACTAATACATTTTGAAAGCAGAAGCATTTGACTTTTAAAACGTTATCCTTCCTGGAAATTAAGGAAAAGGTATAATTGAAAACTGAATAAACTGCTTCACTGGCAGTTTGTTCCTGACCTGGATTTACTGGATAAATAACTGCCATTAGTTCTTCATTTCTGAATATCAGTTAAAAATAAGCTATTAGAAATCAATTACTAAAATTCCTAATAAATACAGTGTTCTTTTTTTTTAAAGGCTGTTCCAACGTCCTTTAATGATTGAAGAGCAAATAGCTAACTAAACATTTTACAAGAGCAATTAGAAATACTTTTTCTGAGATACTGAATCTGCCAACTTAAGTTTGTCTATATTTTTCCAGCATTATACCCTTTGACCACTTCGTTATATTCCACCTTTTATTACAATCTTTGTAATGCTTTCAAAGTTCAGGTTAGAATCATGATATATTTATTCTTAAAAGAATTTGAAGTTCAACTGTTTTTCCAGTGACATTCTGGGAAGTTCACTATTTTAGAAATGAAAGGTTAATCCAATGTTCTTATTGTCAGCTGATGAAAACTTTAGACCTACTATTAGTGAATTTTCTCCTTTTTTAGGTTGTAGTATCACAAGTCGAAGGACTTCAGAAATCACACAATTTGAAAACTCAGATTACCCAATATTTTAAGTAACTGAGAAAAAAGGGAACATAGGCTAAGTTCAGAATGCTCAGAGGTATGAGAAGTTCCTGCGAGTGGGGATGGAATGGAAAAGGCAAAAGGTATGCAGGAACAATATTAAGACACCAAAAAGACAGCAGGAATAATAAAATTGAAATGTCATAATATAGTTTGACATAATGAATATTTAGAAGTTTTACACCATGAATACCATGTATACGCTTCTCAATCCACATTCTGAACCTAATAAATTACCCATTAAGAAATATTAGTATTGAATACTAGATTTTTACACATGCAAGATATTGTTCAACCAATGACAGATATTCCTAGATATTGTCTCTCTATTTCAAAGATTCAGAGATCCTTATTCACTTACATGCAAAAATCGCAGAGTGGGACTAGAATAATTAGAAAATAGTAAACATTCCATCTGAGTACAAATTAACATGGTAAATACCACAAGCAATGTCTGATTTATGTGTATGTAGAACACTTTACAAACTGCTGCAAAATAATGACCTCCATAAAAAGTTAATCTCAGGTGCAGTTTATTCCTGAAGTCTTATATAAGACATATGTAAGTAATGGTTGAAATGAACATTTGAGATGAAAATACAGGATCACCAGGATCAATAATCTTCCATTATCTATGTTTGCATGTAAATGTATGAATTTAAAGTTAGTATATAAACTTAGGGCATGTTTTCATAATTACTTGGCAGTAATTACAGATCTCCTTCAAATGTGCCCCAATTACTCTTCTGTCCCATTAGAAGTCTTGCGCACTAAATAGATTTTTCCCCAAAGTTATCTATGCACATTTCACATACAACATATTTCATGGATGGAGTAGGGAAAAGTTGAACTGAAGCTGAATATCGATCCAGTAAATATAGATCCTAGATGTCATCATCAGAATAAATTAGAAAAAATGAGCATGTCTCTTCAAGCAAAAGTATTTTAACTAGTTCTTCGTATTAATTAGGTATTAAACCTGTCCCATTTCTAGATAGGAAGCCTTAAGCCTAAGTGAAACTTCTATAAAAGAAATTCTTTTGGCTCAGACAACTGCAGTGGTTATAATACTGTAGTGTTATCTAATTCTACTATTCAATAATGCCTGTGGTAACAGTGTGAAAAACAACACTGTGGTGAGAATGATAAGAACTGTCTCATTACGTATCTCTCTTGTTTAGCTTACTTTCTTAGTTTTCCTGACCACCTTGCAGGCAGTGATTACTTCTGCGTGCTGTCCTGGTATTCTAAAAATACATTCACCCTAATATTCCTCTTAACCTCTTTATGTCAGATTGGAAGCATATCATTTATATTATAAAGGATTATTTTATCATTTAAAATTAAAACTCTATGAATATCATCAACAACTATCAGATAGTTTCAGGGGATGGATCCTATTAAAAATATGTTATCTATCAACAATGACTAAGATAAGCAGCATTTCACTTGTAAGGATTAATTACCAACATTATCTGACAATATTGATAAACTTTCATAGAAATGTAGCTCTCTGCTATTTCAGATGCAGGATTTATTTCTTGTATTTAAAATTTAAACTAAAGGTTATTTATTCACATCCATATAAATCACTCAAAATATCACATTAAGATATGAATCTAGTTGCTTATAAGTTATAATACTAACCTCAGATACATAATTAAAAGCTATTTTTTGCATGATTAAGAAAAATAACTGTCAATTTTTACAAGTTTACATTCATGCAGTATAAATAATATTCTAAGCTGAAAGTTAAACAATTTGCTTTTAGAAAAAGATCCAAATTAAAATTTAACATTAAAAAACCATATTGTATTCTATTGGTTTCAATAAAAAGAGTTTTATTCTATGACAAAAAAACTGTTTCAATTTAGGAATAAAAATACTTTTTATATTTTAAGCTTGTCAAATACCCCCAAAATGTATTCAACTGGGAGCAATTTGTAAAAGATTAACTCTTTTTTATCCAATTTAACATATTAAGGGCTGAGTACTATTTTAGCACTTGGCCCAGATTGTAATAAAACTACAATTCTATACGATTGCAGTGAAATAAGCCTAATAGAATACTTTGAGACCTAGGTACTTCAGAATAGACATGTTTAAAACTGCTCTATAACTTTTTTTTCCACTACATTCTCTTACCCAGAGAGGACAGTCATGTATCACCAATCTGACGTTTCCAAACACACAAGCTTGATACTCGGTGAATGCAGGATTTCTAAGGTAAGTGGCAGAGTTTAATAACAAATTACTGTCAGTCTCTGAAACTAAAGCACTTCTCCCGAGATAGGTCCAGATCAAACTCTTCTGCTGATCATCCTCGGAAAATCCATCTCTTTCATTCCCAAAGGCTACAATGTGAACAGACCTACAAATAAATAACATTTCAATGTGTTGCATTAAACATTTACTAAGACAAAATTAAGAAAATATAGGACGGGAAAAAGAGGAAAACCAAATTATATACATTTTTAAAAAATAGACATACAGACCGATGTACACTGATATATATATTTGATTTTAGAGGAGTCCTAATGCTAAAGGAACAAACAATAATCCACATACATGATTTTAAATCCAGAAGCACGAAAGCAAATTTCCTTCGAACTCCACAAAAGCTGCTCGCATTATAAATCCAAAGCCGTTTGAATTTATTCTTCCTCCATTTCCTGAGGCTGTTTCATTCACCTAGTCGCAATCGCCGTAGCTCTGGGGAGTTTCCGTTCATGTCTTGTTGGGTAATCTTGTCTCTGTAAACCAGAAAGAGGGTTAGCTCCGTGACAATAGCTTGCTTGCTGTGCTGAAGATGAAATTAGCACATAAACTCAGCAACCAGCAGCCTCAAGCTCAGCCATTGCCTCGTGACGTCAGTATACGATACCAACAAAGACTATTAACATCCGCAAAAGAGCGCTCTGTATTTCTGCATAGCCTGATACAATCAGGTGAAACCCACACACATAAAACTACAGCTTTGAGAATGGTAGCATCTCACTGACGAGAAGGAGACTATGTGATATATTGCTGCTGCTGAAAAGAGATGCATAATAAATCCATGAGCTCACTGGCAGCCAATCGACTTCAGAGTTGCCATATGCAAGAAGTCAGGCAGATCAAGTTAAGAGACAGGTCAACATTCTAGAAAAGAAATGTCTCCAATTTAAAATCCCTTCCACTTGCACAAGACAATAGCAGTTTTTAAAACAGCAGGAATACACAACGTTTCAGATTTCATATTATGCTGTTTATTATCAACCAGCAGGCTAACATTAATTTTTATTTAATCTTAAAATAATCTGTTGGATGTCAAACAAATGTCATTTTGAAAAGAAAAAAAAATGAGCATTTTAATTTCAGCATTTGCCCTGCCCTGGGCACTTCTATAAATTAATAATATTACAGAAATATCATTGTCAATAAAACTCTTGAGGGAATATTTCAATTACAAACTCTGGTGTTTACATGAAATACCAAGGAAAAGACCTTCTGAACATAATAGTTATATCTGTATTGCTAAAATGGGGGGAAACTATGTAACATTATTTCATTTTCTCCCAAATTGCTAAAGTACAGTTATTCAGCCTTGAAATGTAAAACAAGTTAGGTTTACAGTAACTTTAACAGACAATAAAACATATTTTTCAATTGATTTTTCAAAATTTCAAATATGTTATTCAGAAAACTTAATTTAATGAATTTAGCATAGTATATATTTAACCTACTGTCTAACCTAACCTAACTATATTATTTAACCTACTGTCATCGTGCAACCAAAGCAGCATTCTCTAGCCCAAGAGGTAAATAAATACTGGCAAATTTGGGATTGCAAATAACAAAAACAAATGTAGAGGAGAAAATCTGGTTAACTCAAAAAAGCCCAATAAGTATTAAGAATATGCAATGTATACTGACGGTTGCAGGGCAGAAATGTAACATGAGGAGTTAAGGGAGGAATTGTATTTTTGATGAAAGAACCTGGAATTCTAATAAAATATTAATAATAAAATAACTCCAATTAAAGATGATCCACAGTAGGGGTTTTTTTGTCCCACTTTTGTTAAAACAAATTCTGGAAAACCACTGTTTTACACACTAAACATTCTCAAAGGTTTCTGGAAAGTTTGGGCACACATACAATTATCCTCAAATAGAGCCAAAAAAAAAAAAAAACTCTGCAGGTGAGCTATCATTATTATACTTTATATCCCCTCTGAATAAAGGCAGTCAAAGAAATATATATTTATTTGCTATTTCAGTACTTAGGTCCTCTTTTATTTTATTTTTTCTTTCCATTTAACCCAATTGGGAGTTGAGTTGGGAGTTAACGGTGCCAATTCCAGGCCAATAAACTTTGTCAGCTGCTATTGGGCAACTGTCAAAGCTCTAAGGAGGCTTAGGTTCCTATGGCTCTTTGGCTAAGGATAAGACATGCCGGTTCTAGTTGATGTTGCAGGCAGGGAATGTTATTTAAGTAAGTCTAGTCAACTTTGTTCACCATCATGGGTTCTGTAATTTCCTAGAGACAAGAAAATACTCTGAAAAGTTGGGGAAAAAAATCACAGCCTCAAGCTTCATGTTCGTACAGACAGAACCAACAAACATATGCAGTTAGAACTTAGCACTAAAAAACACACACTGCATAGATTTATAACCTAAACAAACATCATTGTGATCTCTTTCAGGGACTATATTATAGTGATAAAATAAGATGTTAAGACAGAACTTTCAGGACCACAAAACATTTTAAAAAGAAATTTATTTCAGATCTATATAATAAAATCAAACTCATGGAAAAAAAATAGCAATCTTCTATTTTCTTTGTTTGAATATATGGTGTTTAATTTCATTGTACAAGATGCAATGACAATAAAGTAAAGTAAACTAAACTAACTTGAGAGCACTTATAAAGGAGTTGTGCATAATTCTAAAACAAATCTACTAACAGCATCTTTATTAACTTTATTTATTAACTTTATTTTGCATTTAAAGAGGATGCTTTGAAATAAAGAAGTCATTTTGAAACCCCAAAAGTGGAAAGGCACAAAATATCAATGTCTGAATCACAAGCAATGATGCTTTGTTTCATTTTAAACCTCTGACATTGCAATTATTTATGTTAAACATAATATCTGGCTATTGTAGAGTTGTGTCCATAATTTGTTGCAGATGACCTGAAGAATGACTTGCATACAATGAATATTACTCATATAAAGTTAGGGAAGTTTTATTGGGCAACATGCTTTTCATTAATTAGATTTTAATGGGAAAGCAATTGCTAGGCTCTACCCATCCATCCCTCCAGCCAGAAAGTAATGACAGTGCCAGTGGCTTTTAACATTGACTACAAGGTAATCCTATCAGATAAATTAGAATCATAGAAATGATTTTTTTTCCTGTGACTTCTTAGGAAGATGAAGCATTAAAAAAATCTTCCTGATTATTATTAATAGTAATAATTTATGTTGCCTGACTTCCCGCAACGTTTTTTTCTTCATGGCAGGTGAAATACTTCAGACAGAAATGAGTCACTGTCCCACTTCCTTTGTTTAAAAAGGAAGAAAAATTGAATTGGAATGTTTATTCTTTTTCCAGATACAACATATTTCTGTAGTGTTTAGATTCACGTGTTCTTAAGAGGATATGTCTCAAAGCAATTGATAAATCTACCGAAAAGAGAAAAACAGCCTTAGGAAATTCTATCGGGATTTTTTTAAAAAACGAATATATATGCAAAGCTTTATTTCCTTGTTATTTTTAATTTACAGCTCGCGTTTTAATATATGTAAATTCCATCCCATACATGTCGCCCTTTAGGGGAGAGATGGGAATAGAAGATGGTGGCTGCCTCAGTAAACGGGACCGGCGACAATGTGGATTCTCAGCTATTCCTACGACACGGTAGGGAGGGGAAAATGCTTTCCAAGTCAGTTAGGTATCCTATAAATAATTGAGCAATAAAGCTCGGTCAGCCTGAGCTTCCTCAAAGGCCGCGTCCGCCATGGCCCGCAGGGGTGAAACGCAGCGGTCAGCCAGATCGGCAGCCACCACGCCCGCGTTGCCCCCTCAGAAGCGAAAACGGCTCCTCGCGTTCTCCGGTTGCCTTGGATACCAGGCGGAGGCCTTCTTTCCTGCCGCCTTCGGCCGTTTGCCGCCATTCGGAGGAGCGCGTGCCGCCGAAGGCCGGTTGCGGTGGGGTGGCATTTCGCCTTTTCTCTCTCCGGGCCGAGCAGCCTGACATGCGCCGAGCGAAGCCCCCGTGGGGGGCCTCGATGCTGCGGTGCGCGGTTAGCTGCCGCCAGTACTGGAGGACCGTGGGACAGCCGGAGGGGATCGTGTCAGAGCAGGACACGGATCATCATTTCGTGCATCGAAGCACCATTCCTACCATGCATTTCCAGCCAAGCTTGCCCAGGTTCCTCTGCCGTTCACTATGTTTCATGGAAATTGGCGGGGAGGGGGGGCGAGGGGAGTAAGTGGACTCCGAATACATCGAAAACATCCTTCCTTCTCCTTTTCCAGCCATTCTTGCAGTGTAGCTGGACCACTCGATTGTAGGGGAAGGCACTTGGATGCCGCATTTCGCACACATTCTGTGAGTGTAACCCAAACAGTACTATTTAAGCCCTTGGGCCTGTTTGAAAAACAGCATGCCCGTTGCCGTGGGAGTAGAGCCTCTGACTTTGGGATTTGACAGAGACCTGGGATAACTTCTACTTTTTCTAATATCTCTGGCCTATGAAGATCCCCATACAAAGCCCAAGGCCTCTTTCTGCCCCATCATATTGTCAATGAAGCAAAAATATTCATGTTCAGGTCCAGACAAAAATATTCTTCAAGGAAGTTCTCCCAGAGAATCCATTGAGGCAAGCATTTGTTGGGAGGAGGAATTACTCAGTACTATTTGGCCTGCTGGTTTTTTTTGAGGAGAAACAGGATGAGAAAAATAATCAGAGAATGACAGGTGCTGATATGTTGCCTGAGGTGTGTGTGTGTACCTACTTTTGCAAGTAGGTTATCTGAGCTAGTAGGCATTATAGTGACCAAGCAAGAAAGCCCTATTTCAGCAGTCCATTTCAATGCAGCCTGTTACATATTGTATGCCTGGTGAAATATAGGCTGCTGGAAAATGCCGTGGTTTGATTTGCTTGTCACCATTTCACTGATAGGGATGGAAGTGGCAATGAATATGTATTTACCCACAAAAAGTATAGGATCTAGGAAAAAGCTGCTGAAAATGGTTTTAGGTTTGACACTGTGTACATGCAAGCCATGACTGTCTGCTGAATTGGAAAAATTTCAAGCACAGGAAAAGGAGGCTCAGATTTAGCCCAAAAGCATTGTCCATAAACATATTTAAGAAAATGAAATTCAATGTAGACAAAAGTAAAGTCCTACACTTAGGCAAGAAAAACCAAAAATACACATAGACTGGTTGAAACCAGGCTTAATAGCAGTAACTGTGAGAAGGAGTCTTAGTGGACAACCAGCTAAATATGAGCCAGCAGTGTGCAACAGCAGCCAAAACAGCTAATGCAATCCTAAATTGTATTAATAGAGTGATACAATCAAGATCAAGTGAGGTACTAATACCACTCTATAAAGTCTTAGTAAGACCACACCTAGAGTACTGCATCCAGTTTTGGTCACCACACTATAAAAAGATGTTGAGACTCTAGAAAAAGTACAGAGAAGAGCAACCAGGATGATTAGGGGACTGGAGACTAAAACATATGAAGAACGGTTACAGGAA